TCAGTAATCATCCTTGCTTACTTTAAGTTGGTCATTTGATGACGCTATCGGTAACGAGAGAGCTTAGTGTCGGATGATCACGGAATGTGGAGCAGCTGGTGAAATGAAGATTGGCAGGAGACACCAAAGCACTCGAAGAAACCATGCCCTGAGATAATATATATATAGAACATACACCACATAATGTGGGACGTTGAAAGCGTCGTCCCTATGCTTAATTAAACACCACAGCATGAAGATGTAAGTGGGGCTGGAGGTGTAGCTCCACACACTCTTAGTTTTCGTAATATCACTTCCATTTTCAATGAGACTGTTTCTGCTGATTTCTTGCTTGGCTTCCTCTACTGCCCTGATGACAGAGGCGATATGATCCTCCGAAACGTTAGGCTGTTTCCGAAGTACACGGCATTACGACTTAAAGCGAACGTTACAGTCTCCGTCTTGATAATCTCAAACCCAGCACAGTTTAACTTCAAATTACAACGTAATTCTCTTTCAAATATGGAGCACACTGGTTTCCATGATGGTTGGATGGGTGGGTAGGTGGACTGTCTCTGTGGCAATAGAACCCGAAGACTCGGCCTCGGTCATGTGACTTTGTAATAGGGGTGAGATTAAGGGGGCTAACTCTGTGACAACAGGACCAGTAGGTTCAACAGTGCTAAACCACCACTGGCCCACCATACGTCATTTCACTAAATCATAATATTAATAATAAACAGCGAATCGTTACGAATGAAAGATATCAAATGTTATTAGGATGATAAATTCAAGGAAGTGGGAGGGGCACGCACTGGATATATCCGAAATGCTTGCAGAATTTTGATAAGAAAATCTGAAGGGAAGACACGGCTTAGAAAGTGTAAGCTTAGACAGTTGAATAACATTAAAATTAATCTTGTAATCCCATTAAGCACCAGTTTTCCAAAATTCTTCTCTTCATGTCCGAGCACTAACTGGCGACGATCTTAACACTTTATGGAACAATATAATTCTTCATAAGGCTGGAATTAAATAGTTATTACTCATCAGTCATCAAGTTCCCTTCCCGTATCCTGTACTGATAGCTCCCATGTAGTTTTGTGTAGAAAGTTTATTATTATTATATTTATTGTAATATAATTATAATATTATATTATAATTATTTTTGTGTATTTCTATGTACTCATGCTAAATTTGCAATTGGTCACTGTGCTGTTAAATTTGCACGCAAATAAACACGAATTATTAACGTATGCAACTTTGATCTGGTCTGAGCGAAAGCTTGACAACTGATCTCGAGGAAATCTTCAATAAATAAGTGGACTTGGTAGAAAGTAGTAAATATGCTTTTATGCTGAGATTGGAAGAGGCGACAGTTAAGCTAACTGTACGTAAAATCAGACGCAGAAATGGTTTCGGATACCTCGGTACAATCTTCAAGAATCAGAACTGTACAAAATGTTCCCCGCATTTCAATATTTTGTTCTGCTGGCTACAGGCGACACCACAAGCTCACCTGCGGTTTGCAAAGAAAACAATAGTTGCCCCTGATATTTTGAAGCCGCCCATCACAGTGGCCGCACGGCCAAAGCATGAACACTCTTCGCCCGCTTGAACGCTGGGATCATGGGTTCTACTCCCACTCGAGGCATGGATATCTGTCTGCGTTTATTGTGTGTTTGTGTTGTCCTGTGTATAGGATTAAGGAACTGGAAAAGCGCCCAAAGTCCAAAGGGCTGTAAACCACAGAGAAAATAATATTGAGAAGCCAGTGTAAAACTGAGAAAATACGGATAATGCTACCGGTAACAAATATAAGGAATACGTAGAATGTTGGTCCGAGGTTCTGATATAGCAAATGTAGTAAATTCCAGATATGTTTGTTTCGAATCACGGTCGAGACGCGGGCGATTCTTAGTGAAGTTTTCGTGATTGTCAGCATCCCCCCCCCCGGAGACAGGAGACTGGATACGGCAGTGGCCTAAAAAAAAAAGAATTCCATGGAACTGCCAAGGCCCCAAACGAGAGTGAAGAACCCCTCAGATTTAAGCATTACAAATTAATTGGAATCGAAATTTCATATTTGGAGCATATAACCTCCATGGCCTTCAGTTCGCAAGCGAACTATACCGACCGAGCGACCTCCGCTTGTCGGCGAAGTTGGTGCCAACTTTAGCGGATAGAGGGTGTTGCGTGGTCAGCGCAACGGATTCCCACAGCCGATAATCTCGGTTTTCTAGACTGATATTGGGAGCATATGCACGACTTTAATGCGTTTCTTGTGATTTTGCATTAGGCTCCATATTCATTCATTGCAGTTACAAGTTTATCTTTGCAAATATAAATTTACTGTTGCAGAACTATTCACATTACATGTACATACGGTGTTCCGCGTAGACTCATAGAGTATTCTTCCTGCATTTCGTTAAATATTAGGCATTTCGAGGAGTGTTGTAAATGAATGCTTTGGACTGTACTGTATTTCATGCGTCAATATTCTGCAATTCGAATTTTTCCTTCTTTTAAAGAAAAATTATAATTTTTATCTTCGTAGAAAGCAGGGGCTATGCTGAGTCGCAACAAACATAGTTGAATCAGCGTGGCAGCTGTTAGTGTGGAACCTCCAATACCAAAGAATTACTGGGGTTTTTGACTTTCTCCATCGTCTGGAATTCTAGGTAATAGAGGACACGACGTTTCGGAAACTGGATTTCTTTCCGTCTTCAGGAGAGAAAAGAAGACACCTACTAAGTTGGACCCCTTAGAAAGAGCTAATCTCAATCACTAGATTGATTGATTGAGTGACTGAGATGAGCGTGTGTGTGTGTGTGTGAGTGGAAAGTGAGAACTGGAAACTGCTGTCAAGTATCTGGAAGAAGTCTGAAGGAAACAGAACGAAATCACACATAGAATTTTTCCCACCGAGGTCCACATCAAGCCTGCAAACTTCTTGACGAAATTCACAGTGAAATTCAAGGTTTCAATTGCAACGTTTTATAAAGATATGGAGATCCCGCTATGCAACAACTGGATATAAATTTGTACAGATGGCTTTCCATACCTATGGGGGCGTGTGCTGGCCTAGTTGGTTGAGGCATTATGCTACAAGCAGGAAGGTCTCAGGTTCGATTCCCGATGACGTCACTGGATTTTCAGTGGACGTAATCCTTCCAGCCACACTGTGACCCTGGGGTCGACTCAGCCTCTAACAGAAACGAGTATCAGGAATCTTCCTGGGGGTAAAAGGCAGCCGGCCGGCGTATAAGGCTGACCTCACCACCATTTGTGAGTCGACTTTCTAGAAAATGTGGGAGTCTCGACGTCTCACAATCCCATGGGCCTCCACTGCCTGTTATAGGCGCAAATTTAGCTTATATATCTATATATAAAAGCTAAAGTTACATACATATATATACACATATACACACGCATAAAACAGGATACAAGGAATCAGAATGTAACGTGTTAAATCGGCGATGTTCACCTTTGGCTTGTCAGTACGTGTTAGTGGCTGACGATGCTTTCGATCCGTCGCAACTAAACCACAGATTTCTCTGCTACGGTTCATGTGCGAAGAAAAATCCGCGTGTATGAGGGAGCACTAGTCGGAGGTGCTAGAGAAAGTGAGCAGCACTTCGCAGGTGCCCAGCAACACTCATGGAAGTCGCATATCATTTCACTGTTCCCGTAATCTGACAATTAGAAGAAACATGTCGGATCCGGGTCCGCTGGTTTGATATGTCATAAAATAAATTCGCCGTAGAGTGGGGTATGTGTCGGGATCAAGCCAACATTCGCAGAAATAACTTGTCAGCCCATTGCCAGTCTCCGCCTGACAGTTCTGAAATAATTTGGATCTAGTGTGGTATCATACGTTAAAATAGGTTATGTAGACATCAAAGTGTTGAGAAGCATCCGTGGCACATTTGGCATTTATGAGAGGAGATACAGACATTCGCATTGACAGGCCTGAAGAAGGAAACAAGCGAACTCAAGTCAGAACAGCGTAGTTTACAAGGGCGAGCGGTTTCAGCAGGATGTCCTGTATCCGTTAATGCAGATAAGTCTCATAGTTTTACATTGAACTTAAAACAGAGGACGTAACAGGAGCAGAGAATGTTATATGATGGGGAGCTTCGGGCTCTGTACTCTTTACCAGATAATATTATATTAATATGGAGTTCGAGACAGTAGCAGTCATTTGCAGTGCTTGAGGTGGAATGAAAATAGAACCGGGGTGGTTTTCCCAAAAAAGGTATTGTACATTGCATTTTCTGCCAAAGAAGTAACGGGATGCTTTTAAGCCATTTAGAAAAGAACCGGGATGCCATCCCGCCGCATCCCGCCCCACCTCAAGCCCTGGTCATTTGGGATACGAGAGAGGCACACAAAATGTTAGTCAGAAAATTTCAAATGAAGAAATAACTTAGGAGACGTAGCAATAGGTAGAAGATTAATACTAGAATGGATCTCCAACATCTTCATGTGGTTCCTGGTGGGTTCTTGTGAACACGGCAAGGAAACTCCTTCGGATTCCGTAATTGGCGAGGTATTTCTTGACCAACTGCATGATTATTGTCGTCCAAAACAGACTCTGCTCTGCATGCGCATGCGCACGCTTGTCAGAATAGGAGCCCAATTTTCAAGAAAATCGATATGGCAATTGTACTATTTGGAGAAAAGTAGCATATTTTATATTTCCCCACCATATGCAACATTTACATGTCTAAATTCATAGCTTTCTAATATAGAGAAAACGTTCGCTCAATTCGGTACAGAGCCCTGAAATTCGTCTTCATATATGACGGTATTTATCTCTGCTGCTTTTTCTTCACGCCTTTTTATGTAGAATATACGGCAGAAATGAAAAAAGTTGTCAGCCAGACATTTGCATTGAGAAAAATAGCTGTAATCTCCGAAGCGATAGTGGAAGTTATCTACTCTTAGGTAGGGGGTTACAATGCATACATCAAAAGAATATTCCAGCGCGTTTTGACGCAGAAAAATGTTGATTTTAGGTGAACTTGAGTGGGCGGTGGATGGGGCATGGGAGCTCCGCCATGTGGAGGTGAGGAACGGCAGCCTCGTGGTGTACAGCGCTTCTACAAGACCGGAGCTGCGTCTGCCCCTGCGACACCTAAGTCTACAACCAGCCAGCCATCCGCGTACCTTCAGTCTCATCCGTGAACACCAGCCTCTAGCTACGTTACAGGTACGATACTAAAACTCTCGGTAGGTATTCGGCCAATGAACATGAACTCCTATCTACTTTCCAGACACAAACTAACAATTCAGCAGATATTTGACCAGTCATCTTCACTCTTGAAACCCAGCAGACACTAGACCAGTCAACGTCAGCGTGCACGCTATTGTAACCCAGCAACAATCGGTAAGGAGGGATGCTAACATAGCAACTGTCTTGAGTGGCTGCACAATTGGCAGTTCTCAAGAAGGGCTCAGCTCCATAAGTAAGTTCAATATCACTTCACCCATATCCTTTGGTTTGGATTTCAGTGGAGTGCTACTAAACGTGGTCCCTC